CCCCTGGCTCATGGACCCCATGCTGGCTGTGCTGCGGAGGCCTGCCCGGCTTCCAGATGCTGGCGACTCACCTCCCGGGACCAGCCTTCTGGAAGGGGGATGTTGAGCCCGTGAGGAGCTCCATGAGTGGGGAAGCAGGTGGGGACGGCCATGTCCACAGCATCACCTTGGCAGCTGATGGGCAGGAAGACAGGTCCAGGCAGCCTCCAGGCACATTCCTGTTTGTGTGACATTCACCGTGACATAGTGCATGCTGTGGCACACAGGGTCCTGTGTTCAGATAAGCCAGGGCCTCGGAGGAACTCAGGCAGAAGAAAGAGCTGGAACACAAAAACAGCGTGATCTTTTCCCGGAAGGAGCCCCTCCACGAATGCGCCCTGGGCCCCCCTGCCACGCCCTGGGCCCCCATGGCCAAGTGCAGATCCCCTCACTTCCACCACCCACAACTCTGCTCAGCCCAGCTGACCCTCAAGAGCCTCTGCTGAGTCCCAGGAGCCTCTGCTGAGCCCAGCCCGGAAGGGCGAGAGAGCCTGGGTGGCCAGAGAGGGCCGAGGTCTGTCAGGCTGACTGGGCCCCTTCAGGACAGGCACCCACCTGTGACGGGGACATGCAGGGACTACTGCGGCTGCCCTGGCCCAAGATGCCCCAGAGGCCAGGTGGACAGGCCCCTTCCTCCTCCAGGAGGTAGGACTAGGCTGAGTTTTGAAGGATGGCAGCGGCCGGGTGGACTCAGGGCACGGACAGGGAAGTCCACGCAGGCCTAAAACACACAGATTCAGGCGGGCGGGAACTTCGAGGTCAAATCACGGAGTCCTCGGAGGGGGACTCAGGAAATCGGATGCTCGGAGGTGGGGCGAGTTTGGAGCCTCGGCCTTGGGGCAGGAGGTGGCATGTCCAGCAGAGGGGCTGCTGCCCGCCACAGCTGGCCTTGCCCTTGGCTTTGGCCCCGGGGAAGTGCAGGGTGCACAAGAGATGCCACAAGGCCCTTGGGTGTCCTTCTTGTGGCTTCCTTTGGTCCCAGGTGGGTGTAAGAAAGGAGATCACTACTACTCCTGCTGCCCTCCTACCCGCCCCCCCCACCTTGCCTAGTTCACAAGACAGGAGGAAAGAGAGAAAGAAACAAAAGTAAGATAAATAGCCAGACAACCTTGGCACCAACACCCGGCCCTAGGAGTTAAAAAAAAGTAATAATAATAACATCAACCCCTGACCTAAACTACTTGTGTCATCTGTAAATTCCAGACACTGTATGAAAAAAAGCATGTATGTAAAACTTTTTGTTCTGTTAGCTGATGCATGTAGCCCCCAGTCACATTTCCCACACTTGCTCGAATTATCAGGACCCTTTCACATGGACCCCTTAAAGTTGTAAGCCTTTAAAAAGGCCAAGAATTTCTTTTTTGGGGAGCTTGGCTCTTTAGACGCAAGTCTGCCGATGCTCCCCGCCGAATAAAAAGCCTCTTCCTTCTTTAATCCGGTGTCTGAGGAGTTTTGTCTGCGGCTCGTCCTGCTGCAGATGACACATCTATGCCACCGCATCCACGCAAGACTCTGTTAGAAAAAAGACAGGAAGGAAATGGTTCCAACTCGCGAGTGAGTCACTGGGGAGGTGGGATTGGAAGTGATTTTCTCCCCTCTTCCAGCTTTCTAAGATTTATAACATGTGTGCGTCCTTTAAACGTGTGTCAGGAAGCAACCCCACAAGGGCGTTGTGTCTGGGCAGGAAGAATCCCAGGATTCCCTGGTTTTACTGGTTTGAGCGCCAGCCTCCAGGAGACGGGGCAAGGGTCTGCTCATCCTCCGTGACCAGGCGGCCGCTCTGCCTTTGTCTCATGGGTGGTCAACGGGGTGGCTGAAACGCTCCCGTGTTCCTCTAGCCCAGGGGATCCGAGCAGCCTGACCGTCACTGTCTCTCCGTAGCCTAGTCAGTGGCCCAGCAGTGGACAGAGGCTCTGCAGGCCACTGAGGAGGACGGAGCCCAGGGACAGAGGAGGAGCCGCAGTGCTGGGGGTCCAGGCCCTGCCCACAGCCCCACCCTCGGAACACCACAACCCCTGCACCCTGTGTGGTTGCCTTGGGGCATTTGCTTTTCAAACTCCAGGAAAAAATATTGACAGTAACGTGGGAGTAGCAAGAATCCAAATAAAAGAACGTGCAATTCATGCTACCTCCCTTTATCATGATTTGCAGGTACCAGCACATTCGGGCACGTTCTCTGTGGTGCGCTGTCCTAATCCTGACTATTTCAGTGCCCAGAAACAAGCCGAGAATAAAAACACCCATCGCCCATGCCCGGCATTAGAAAATCTCCTTGGTATATATTCAGATTATTTTAAAAGGAAATTAAACTCACAGATATAGCCAGGAGTAGATGGATTTTGTGGGGCTTAAAATATATATAAAATTTGGGGGTTACTTTAAATAGTAATAGAAATTATGAATCCAAATTAGAAATGAAAATAAACGTTTATTGGAAGAGATAAAATCACAAAGCTCACACATGAAAAAGCTGATAGGTGCACTAAACATCATCGAATGGAAGAAACAAACAAGATTTGATTAGTTACTCCCTGGCATCCCTCTATCAAACTTATTTTTTCTATGTCTCTTGGCTGTTACCCCTTGATTATTGCTTCCTATGAAAATAATTTTCCATAAGTAGAATAAAAAGATAACTCAGCCTTCCCTTTGACGAGAAGTTCAGGTTCATTTCTCATCATCGGTTGGGGGCCGCATGACACACGTGGCCGCCATCATGGATGTGTGTGTGGTGATGCTGCCATGGGCCTCTGCCCCGTAAGCAGCGGCTCTGATCAATTCTCCTTTGCGAGGTGGCCCCAAAGGATTGCAGAGCTGGCCGGGGCATTCGTGCGTGTTCATGACCGAGAACTTTTCACGCAGAGAGGAATTCTGTCCTGAGAGATGTCGGTGAGCCCTGATCCCAGCTTATAGGTGTGCACATCCGGGGCTGACGGACATCGGTGAGAACTGATCCCAGCTCACAGGCATTCACGTCAGGGGCTGATGAACATTGATAAGGACTGATCTCAGTTCACAGGCGTGCACATCGGGGGCTGACAGATTGATAAGGACTGATCCCAGCTTACAGGTGTACACATCGGGGGCTGAGGGACATTGGTGAGCACTGATCCCAGTTCACAGGCATTCACGTCGGGGGCTGAGGGACATGAGTGAGCACTGATCCCAGCTCACAGGCATTCACGTCGGGGGCTGAGGGACATGGTGAGCACTGATCCCAGCTCACAAGCATTCACGTCGGGGGCTGAGGGACATTGGTGAGGACTGATCCCAGCTCACAGGCGTTCATGTCAGGGCCTGATGGACATTGATAAGGACTGATCCCAGTTCACAGGTGTGCACATCGGGGGCTGAGGGACATTGGTGAGGACTGATCCCAGCTCACAGGCGTGCACACTGGGGACTAACAGACACTGAAGAGGACTGAATCCCCGCTTACAGGCGTGCACACTGGGGGCTCGGAAGCGCTGACCACGACTTGCTTCCGGCTTCCCCCAAGGACAAAACCTGCCTCTTCTTCCCGACCCGCCGACTCCCCTTCATGTCCCGCTGTGATGTGCAGCGCAGCATCCTTGGGTCATAACACCAGGTGCACTGGCACAGGGAATGGTGGGAATATTCCTGAAAATGAAGACTACCCCGAAAGGCAGGAGCTTCTAAGCTAGAGTGACTATCAGCTTCAATAGGCCCTGGTGCACCTGAACCAGCCCGGGGCCCCCCAGTGCCATGGAAAGAGACAGCCATAGCAGATCTCACAAACTCATGTCCAGGGGAGCTCCCCGCTTGTGCATGGCAAGGACCACGCAGGGGCATCTTAGGGTCTGCAGGAGGCAGCAGTACTGCGGAGTCTCAGAGCACGCTGTCTCCAGTTTCGCAGCTGGGCCACTGCTCTCCAACGCCCGCACCCACGGGTGCTTCCTGATGCACCTCATCCTCCCCACATTACTGTCAGAGTGAGGAATGCGCTCAGCCTCAGGCCCTGAGACTGTCCTCTCCTTACTCAGCCTGTCTTCCCATCCTTGCGGCATCCGGGTCACCTCTTCCCCCGACGGCCTTTTCCCATCCTCTGCCCGCTCTTCCCTCCCGTTGTCTGTCTTTGTCTACATCATTGGCAGGAGTTCCTCATGCACTCTGCATGCTGAAGCCGTGCAGCCGGACACACGGCAGGGCTTTCCCTCCCGTCTGGCTTGCCTCCTGCCTCTGTACAAGACATGACCCTTCCGCCACTTTTGAACTTGCCTCTGGGTCACAAAGGGATTGTCCCATCATTTCTACCAAAGGTTTTTAAAGTTTTGCTTTTCACATTAAGCCTGTTAATCTGCCCGGAATCAACTGTGTGCCGTGTGAGGTAGGAAGCTAAATGGATATGTCCTTTTCATACGGATAAAAGCTTCATTTATTCCATATTTTCCCCTCAGATGTTTTCGCTGTGCCCCTTATTTTCCGATTCCATTTCCAGTCTGTTTCTGGGCTCTCTCCTGTTCTGTTGACCTGTCCGTGCAGCCTCGTGACAACACCGCAGGCTTAATGACAGTGGCAAAGGATCCCCCACCCTGCCGGGCGTGTGCCCCCTCCCCCCGCTTCCCTGAGTCACATGAGCTTCTCTTTGGCCTCCATCTGCAGTGTCTGTCACCTCGCCTTTCCTAGTGGTGTTGAACTGCTGCTTTTTTCATTGTTTTCTTCACCAGTCTTGCCAGAGGTCTTCCCGTTGCATTGCATTTTCCTCTAAGAGCCAGTTTTGCATTTGCGGGTGCGGTTCTTCTTTATTTTCTGGTCCACGGATTTCTCTTTCTTATTTCTGTCTTCTAATTTCTTTAGGTCACATGTTATTGTTTTTTATTTGAATGCCTAACTTACTTTTTTACCGTATAATAGATGCATTTGAGGCTGTAGACTTGAGGTTTATATTTCTCTTTATGTAACACTCTGTTCGTTGTTAATTCTAGTTTATTGCCTTATAGCTAAAAAGGGCAGGCTCTGCTGTGTTGATTCTGTGGAATTCCCCATATTGCCTGGTATGTGGCCTATTTTTTAAACGATTCTATGTGTACTTAATAAGAATTAAGTATTAATTACAATTAACAATTAAGAATTCTTCATCGTAACAACTATAACAATATAATTGTTTAGCTGTTGGGGCAGTGCCTTTGTATACTTCACAATTTTGGTTCCAAACCTTCAACATTGGTGTGAACTTTTAAAACCCTCGCCCTCTCTTTCTAGTGGAGAAGTACTGGCGTCTCCCGTTCCGACTACGGTAATTTGGAACCTGGCCTTGCTCATTTCAAGGTGAAGATATTGTGTCTCTGCATTTCTGCCTTTCTCCACTATCTTGTTGTCATTGTCCTCTGTCTAACAGTGTTTCATAGCCTCTGCCCTGGGTCCCAGGCTTCTGCTCTGCAGTGATGCGGAGGATGTCACAGATAAAGTCACCCCTTCCGACGATGGCTTGTCTCTGCTTCTCTCAAGGCTGTGTCGATGTCCTCTTGCCTTCCTATGCCCACAGTGCTCCACTCAGTTATAAGAAGTAACAGCCCTGGGATGTGTCAGGAAGGGTTTCTCAGCCTCCTTTCTGGAGTCAGGGAAGCTGCTCCCATCACTGCCAGGAGCTGGATCCAGGCCCTCCCTGCCTGCCTTGAGACTTGGGGCTGACAGGCCCCTGCCTCTGCCCCATCACCAGCCTGTGCTTCTCCTCCATTCCTGGTTTTATGTGAGTGAGTGTGAGTGTGTCTGTGTGCATGTATATATGTGCACACATGCATACACACACACACACCTGTCTTGGTCTTCTGTCTGACCTATTGCTGCTCTGTGTGTGGGGCAGAGCGGTTCCTTATTGCACACCATGCTCAGGAGTGTGGACACCCTCTTTAAATGCACATGGTCCCGTGTTCACACAGGAGGGTCCCTTTTTTTTCCGTGATGAATCTGAGGCCAAGTAACCTGCCCAGAGATGCAGGAATTTCAGCCAAGACCCAAGCCCATGGGCCTCAGACTCCAATCCGCAATCCCTTTGGCAGTGTGCACGTCAGCGCATGTGGGATGGCTGGAGGACGCCTGTTACTGCCGCACACGTGCCCCCAAGGAGGCCTGCACGCCCTTCACTCCCTTCAGTTTCCTCCCAGGTGAAATCTGCAAACCCGCTCCTCTGGACCTGGTCCTGTCCGGATGATCCTCTGGGATTAACAAGCTGTTATTCAACAGCCTCCAACAACAATGGCACATTATCTGCTCCACTGCACAACTGGCCGTGGTTTACATCCAGGAAGGGATTGGTCAGTCACCTGTGCCAGGTCCCCAGGGGACCCTGAGTCCAGTGGTATATAGGGCGGCTGTGGGAGGAGTGGCATAGCCTCTCCCAGCCCCAGCAAGCAACCTGTCAGGCGGCCGTGGACTTAGACCCCACAGATGAAGGCCCTGCTCCTGGCCGTCAACCTCAGCCTCGTTGTTGTCCTGCAGGCCCACCACCTCCTGCCTCAGATGAGGAGATTCAGGATGTGAGGCCCGGATGGGGAGGGTGGGCTGGAGGGGGCCACAAGGCGAGGCTGACACTGCTGGAGGGAGACCCCATCCCCCCCATCCAAGGAGACCCTCATTTTCAGGTTGAGCATTAAAGCCCTGCCCTGAAGGATGATGAGATGGGACAGCAGGAGTCTGGTCTGCGGGGGCCGGGGTACAGAGGGGCAGGGCTGAGAGGGTGGGGGTCGGGCTGACTTCACTTCTCTCCTAGGGGTGAGGGCTCCTGTGGTCCTGGCCAACTTGCGGGGGCTGGAGCCACATTCAGGTGGGCCTGGCAAGGATGCTGGGTGTTTTCTGGGTGGGTTAGAGTGGGGAATGCTCCCTGTCTCCAGCCCTTGGGGTGCGGTAGAGTCCAGCCCTTGGGGCTGCAGGCCAGGGAAGGGGGAGGCTCTGGAGCGATTGGCCTGAGCCTGAGAGAAGCCTTCTTCAGGTGTCAGAGACGTGGTATCTGAAGGCCATGATGGTGGACAGGGAGCTCCCTGAGATGAATCTGGAATCGGTGACACCCCTGACCCTCATGACCCTGGAAGGGGGCAACCTGGAAGCCAAGGCCACCATGCTGTGAGTGTCTGCCAGCCGCCAGGCAGCCTGCAACCTGGTCTGGGGCCTTCCCTTTCCCCACCCAGGAAGCCATCCGGGCAGCCTGCAACCTGGTCTAGGGCCTTCCCTTTCCCCACCCAGGAGAGCTCTGGTGCTGGGGAGGTGGGCAGACCTGCTGGGAGGCCCCTCTTAGCCCCTCCTGCAACGCTTGAGGGCAAACTGTGCCAGTGAGGTGCCTTGGCTGAAGGGGGCCTGAGGGGGCAGAGGCCCTTGTGGGCTATCAGAGGCAGTGCTGGATACCACCCACCACCTCCTCCGACTAGGGAATGTCTGGTGCCGTGCAGGCCCCTTTGGGAAAAGGTGTTTACCCCCAACCAGAGTCAGAGCCGGCAGGCAGGGCCCGCAGTCAGAGCTACAGGGAAAGCCCTGAGGGACCGTCCCAGAACAAACCTGCCACACCTGGTGTTTGGGGCCAGGTGTTCACATTTCTAATGCAAATTGACCAGTGGGACAGGAGAGTGGGCTTTTAGTGGAGTCAGAAGGCAGCAAAAGGCTTCCCAGGCCAAAAGCCCACCCCAAGAAGGCACTGGCTGCCCGCCCACTTCCAGCGGGTGTTCCAGCTCAGGCAGGGGCATTGCAGCGCGGTTGCTCCAGGGCCAGGGGAGGCACAGGCCAGGGCCGCTTTGCCAGGGAGCTTCTGTTTTCCAGGATAAGTGGCCAGTGCTGGGAGGTGAAGGTCATCCTGGAGAAAACTGACAAGCCGGGAAAATACACAGCCGGTGAATCCCGCAGCCTGAGCCACAGTCTTTTGCTGCCTTCTGACTCCACTAAAAGCCCACTCTCCTATCCCACTGGTCAATTTGCATTAGAAATGTGAACACCTGACCCCAAACACCAGGTGTGGCAGGTTTGTCCTGGGACGGTCCCTCAGGGCTTTCCCTGTAGCTCTGACTGTGGCTCTGGTGGGTCCAGGAGCAGAGTCGTATTTGGTTGTGGGGTCCTGCACCCCAACTCCCACCTCTGCAGACCTCGTACCCGGAGGAACCCCTGGTGACTCACTGATTTGGGATGTGGCCGCCTCTCGGGTGCATCAGGTTCCTGGGAAGTGCGGGTCCCATGGCCTGGGGCTCAGGCCTGGTGGGGACCCTGGGTCAGAGAGCTCTGGGAGGCTGGGAGGGTGCAGGAGCTGTGGGGCTTGCTGGGCCGGGCGCCACACGCTGTCCCGGGATCCTCTCTGAAGGCCCTGGTGGCTAATTCAGGACTGTGCTGCTGTCCTTCTGCAGACGGCAGCAAGCACGACATACATCATCAGGTCACATGTGAAGGACCACTACATCTTTTACTGTGAGGGCGAGCTGCACGGGAAGCCGATCCGAGGGGTGAAGCTCGTGGGTGGGTCCCGCACCCACACCCTGCAACCCAAGCCTCCACCCGCCCTCCCTCCTCCCACGGCCTCCTGCACCCTCTTCCCCATGGGAGAAGCCACTGGGACCCAGGAACCCACTGCAGTTTCCTTAGGATGAGTTTTCCTGATAAAGGCCCCAATTCCCACCCCTGGAGTTCAGGATTTTGGATGCCCCGGCCTAGGTCTCTGCAGCGAAGGCAGGAAGGAGCCGCGGCTGTCGGCACAGGGGCTCAGAGGTCGCACGTGTCCCAGGGCAGGCCAGGCCCTCCCCCGGGGCAGCTCCCTGCAGCATCATCCTTGAGCTCATTCCTGCAGGGTGTCCAGCAGGGGAGAGGAACGGGGATGCGAGCAGGAGTCTGTGTGGAAAGAATGTTCCAGCTCCCAGGGTTGAATTCCGGATGCCGTGGCTCCCACAGACAGTGACGTGTCAGTGCCATCCCTGTCTGAGGACGAGGCCCGTGAAGGCTCCTGAGTTCTCCCTGGATCCAGGGTTGTGCAAATGACAGAGGAATGGGACAGGCAGTGCCCTGGTGCCCCCGAGGGGAGAGACGCTTCCTCCAGGGTGGGCCTGTCCTGCCGTCCATCCTCACTCCAGGAGATGCCTGGGGATGGATGGAGAACCCTTCCTGTTCTCCCAGTTCTGCTGCCGCGGGAGCCTTCTCAGCCGTGCACGGCACCCTGGTCCCGCTTTGCCAGCCCAAGGGCCTCTGGGTTCAAGTCCCCCCATGGGGGGCGAGGTCCCCCTCTCCAGCCCAGCTCAGGCTTCCAGGCTGTGACGGGGTGCCGTCTGCCCATGCTGCCTTGGGCGCCCACATCTTGTCCTGGCACCCACCTGCAGAGACCCCGAGAACAACCTGGAAGCCTTGGAGGACTTTGAGAAGGCCACAGGAGCCCGCGGACTTAACACGGAGAGTACCCTCATACCCCAGGCAGAGCGGTAGGGGGCATGGCCCTGCAGAGCGCCCCGTGTCCCTGCGTGGGGACGTCAGCAGAGCCACGTTGCATGGGCGTGTAATTGTGCTGCGTCTAATTCTGGCTTTGTCCTTCCTGGGGTGGTGGAGCTGGTGGCTGATGAGGGGCCCCAGTCCTGACTGCATTCCTGGGGTCTCCTGACTCGCCTGTGCTTCCTTTTCCTGCAGAAACCTGCTCTCCAGGGAGCGATTAGGGTGAGCGAACAGCTTTAGAGGACATTTGAGAAAATCCAGCCTTGGGCTCAGTGGCGCTTCAAGAGGCCCTGGGGTCTCTCCCACCCACCACGCTCCTACCTGGGTGGGAGACACCCCACCTAGGCCAGGCAGGTGGGAGATCTTCTCCTGAGCTGCCCGCACTCAGGCACCAGCCTCTGCTCCTGCCCTGGGAGTGACTCCTGAGAAGCTGAGAAGCCCACAGTGCTGAGCCCGCCTTTGCTGGCTGCTGGTGGAGACGGTGTCTACCCTGCAGCCCCCTGGGTGGGAGCACGCGGGAGATTCCTCCTCAGCACCACTCACCCTCAACCGTCCTTGTGACTCCTCTTACCTGATGTAACTCCTCTTACCTGCTCAAAGATTCAGCAAAGTGGCAGGCACGCCTGTGCTCGCTGTGTTAGATGGGCCCCTTGCTGGCTGCACGAGAGGACCAGAGGTTCGGAGACTCACCCAAGGTCACCTGCCCAGGTGTGGGCAGAGCCAGAATCCCGGACAGCATCGCTGTCCTTCCCACACCCTCCCCTTGGCCTGCAGTTGCCCCCAATGCCTCTTCACTCGGCAGGGAGCTCTGTGGGCAGCCTGTGTGTAGGGGGGTCCCTGCTCCATTTGCTCCAATCTGGAGGCTGGAGCCCCCACCTACAGCCAGAGAGCTTGGTGTATGCCCCCCACACCATTGCCCCCGAGAGCCCGCATGTGACCCCCCCACCGTAGTCCCTGAAAGCCTGGCATGTGCCCCCCACACCCTAGTCCCTGAGAACCTGCATGTGTCCCCACCCCACAGCCCCCGAGAGCCCGGCTCAGCGTGTGCCCCCCACACGATAGCCCCCGAGAGCCAGCATATGCCTCCACCCTGCAGCCCCCTAGAGCCCACATGTGCCCCCCACACCATAGCGCCTGAGAGCTCACATGTGCCCCCACACTGCAGCACCCAAGAGCATATGCGTTCCCACGTCACATCCCCCTGCCACCCTCCCTGTCGTGGCCTCATTCACCCTTCCCCGCTTACCAGGGCAGGGGGCACCTTGGCTCCTCAACAGCCCAAGGACGGCACCACCCAGCACCTCCATCATTCACAGGGACATGGGAAAATCTCCCCACCCCTGCAGAACCCGGCCAGCCTCACCCCTTCCTACCACCCTCCACCTTCCCCCTGCCCTGCGTCCCCTCTCCTGGTTCTCCATAAAGAGCTTCAGACTCTGCCTGTCTGTGGGGTTCCTCGGGGTGGGGGATGCTGGCTGGGTGCTTCTTGGGTGCAGGGAGGGGGTGGGAAGCAGGAGGAAGGACAGGGGACCAGCCTGGGCCCAGTTCTCCATGGTGGGTGCCGCAGGCCAACAGTGCGAGGGGCCTGGAAGGGCCTGGCAGGGGAGTGTGTGCTGGCGACTGGGCCTGAAGGTTTGGGGGTGCTTCCTGCAGGTCAGCCGCCCACGGAGCTCAGGCTCTAGGGGTGGGTGGGGGCAGGACTCTGCTCCTCGGTCCTGCACAAGTAAGACCAGAAGGCCTGGGGGGACCAAGCTCAGCTGCCACCCCAGAGGGGGATTGGGCAGGGCCACCAGGGCCCTCAGCACTGACGCTGAGTCCGTGAGGCTGGACGTGGGGAGAGGGGACAGCAGCTCAAGGCAGGGTGTGGCTCAGGCTTGAGCTCACCGGGGAAGCCAGTCCTGTCCTCCAGGAAACCACACCAGCACTGCCGCCAAGGCCTGGCTCCACGCTGTCCCTCTCTGTGCCTGGGTAGGTTTGGGACGGGAAGTTCCCAGCTTGGGGGCAGCCACCGGAGGTCCCACCTCGCGCAGGCGCCTTTCCTGACGCTGGCGGTTTGTAGAATTTAAAGTTTCTTTCGATGGCGCAACCTCGCAGTGGCGCTGGGAGCGAGGAGAGGCAGACTCTTACTGACCTGCTTCTCCCCAGGAGAGGGCGGCTGCCGGGCAGCACCACACGGGGTGGCTTGCGCCCGGGACAGGACAACAGCCCGCGGAGCTCAGGGGAGGGAGCGGAAAGGGTAGCGGGTGACCCGGCTGCCTGTGGCCAGCTAACATGAGTCATTTCTCGGCTCCAGGGCATAGCGGCTGTCCCTGATTGTCCCTCACTGCCCCAAGGCCAATGAGGGCTGGTGGGGAGTGGCCCCTGAGTAGGGCCATCTGAATAGGGCAGGGTGGCTGTGTGGACCAATCAGCTGCTCAGGAAGGGGCCGGCCCCTAACCAGGGCCTCCGCGATAGGTCAAGACTGCTAAAAAAAAAACTGGATTCTGGCCAGGCATGGTGGCTCATGCCTGTGTTCCCAGCACTTTGGGAGGCCGAGGTGAGAGAATCACTTGAAGCCAGGAGTTGGAGACCAGCCTGGGCAACATAGTGAGATCCCATCTCTACCCAAAAAAAAAAAAAATTAGCCAGGCTTGGTGGTGCACACCTGTAGTCCCCCTACTCGGGAGGCTGAGGTAGGAGAATTGCTTGAGCCCAGGAGGTCGAGGCTGCAATGAGCTATGATCATGTCACTGCATTCCAGCCTTGGTGACAGAGCAAGACCTTGTCTCAAAAAAATAAGATAAAAAATACCATCCTGGCTAACCCGGTGAAACCCCGTCTCTACTAAAAAATACAAAAAAAACTAGCCGGGCGAGGTGGCGGGCGCCTATAGTCCCAGCTACTCGCGAGGCTGAGGCAGGAGAATGGCGTAAACCCAGGAGGCGGAGCTTGCAGTGAGCTGAGACCCGGCCACTGCACTCCAACCTGGGCGACAGAGCGAGACTCCCCCTCAAAAAAAAAAAAAAAAAAAAAAAGATAAAAAATAAAAGAAACCCGATTCCATTTGGGTTGCACTTTCTGCATCTCAGGATGAATCTTGGTTCTTATGAAGTGTCTGAGGTTCTCACTCATAGCAGATGCCACCCATGGCCAGGTCCATCTCCCATCTCCTGGGCTGCAGGGGTGATGTGGCTGCAGCGGGTGTCACCTGTAGCAGGCGGACGTGGCCACGCCGGCCGGCACGCCCATCTCAGGTGCGCAAGTCTCTGCACCAGTCTTCAGACGCCACGCAGATGAGTGCAAAGAGCCTGTGCGAGCACCTGTAGCTCAGAAAGTGCCCCGTGCCCCACATGACCTCCATGGGGAAGCCAGAACCCCCCTCTCCCGCAGGGCCAGTGCCAGAGCCCAGGCCCAGGGACAGTCTGGGCAACTGTGCAGAGAGGAGAGGATGCTGGGGCAGCAGTTACAGAAGACAGATACCCCACCTGGGTGCACCCCAGAAGAGAGAACCCTTCGCTATGTGCAGCGATACGGAGAACTTTCATGTGGACCAGAGCGTCACTGTGCGAGAGCCAGAAAGGGAGTTTGGAAGGCGCTGGACTGGAATCCACCTCTTAGGGAGGCGCAGGGTCTGGTTCGGAGGGGCCGTCGGGAGAGAAGGTGTCCCTGGAGGACTGGTGGGGAAGAAAGCGGGCTGTGAAGAAAGTGGTGAAGAAAGAGGACCGAGGGCCCCTTGGAAGATGTTACGGAAGGTCAGAGGGTGTCCCATCAGCCCTAACGGCTCTGTTCTTCCCAATTTCATCTCAATTCATGTGTCAGCTCTTTCGTTATCCCTCTGCATTATTTTAAAAGTGTCTGCTCTAGGGGTGACGATGACATCCTTAATTCACAGTGGACTTGGAGCAAGCACTGTGTCCTTTACTTAAAACGTGAAGACCTTGTGACGGCACAGGTGTGTCCTCCCTGGTCTGCCTCATGTCATAGACCTTGTGATGGCACAGGTGCATCCTCCGCGCTCTGCCTCATGTCATAGACCTTGTGATGGCACAGGTGCTTTCCCTCATGTCATTGCTGACATGCATCACATATACATATGCTAGAGACGCCGCGACGCAGCACTGCAGAGCTTGCCTGAAGCCGTCCTACATGTGATAAAGGAATGGAGAGGGTGTTTTCTCTTTACCCGCAGACCTTCCCTGGCGAGTGCTCTTTGGTCCTGAGTGTCCTGTTTCCATGCTGATCACATCCCTCCAGCCTGAAGAATGGCTTTTATGCATTCTTTATACTTTTATACAAAACTATATGTATGTGTGTATGTGTGTGTATATATGTGTGTGTGTATGTATATGTGTATGTATACACACACACACACACACATATATATATACTTTTACGAAAAAGTAATTGCAGCTTTGGTCATTAAAAGTAATGACAAAACCGTAATTGCTTTTGCACCAACACAACCTAATAGCATTTTTCATACTGCTGGCTGCTGCCCACAAATTGTTTCCATTTTGTTTTATCCACATGTGTTTCACTTTGCTTTTACTCTTGAAGGATATTTTCAGCAGACACAGAATTCTCAGCCGGGCGTGGTGGCTGACACATGTAATTGCAGCACTTCGGGAGACCAAGAAGGGTGGATCACTGAGTTCAGGAGTTAAAGACCAACCCGGTCAACATGGTGAAACCCCATCTCTACTAAAATACAAAAATTAGCCAGGTGTGGTGGATGTGGCTGTAATCTCAGCTACTCGGGAGGGTGAGGCAGGAGAATCACTTGAACCCAGGAGGCAGAGGTTGTAGTGAGCTGAGATTATGCCACTGCACTCCAGCCTGGGTGACAGTGCATTAATAATAATAATAATAATAAAAAGAATTATCAACTGCAGTTCTTTTCCTTCCACAGTTTACAGATGCAACCGGTTTCCCTGTCTCTGGCCTGCCTGTTTGCAGTGAAATCTCAACGCTTAGTCAGCTCATTCTTCTGCTGTATGTAATGTATCTTTTTTCTCTGGTTGCTTTAAAATTCTGTCTTTAAATTTGGTTTTTGGCACTTTGACTTTGATGTACCTAATGTGTTTTCTTTCTGTTTATCCTGCATGGGGTTTTCTAAGGTTTCCGTAATTTCATAAAACTTCGTAGATTTCTATCCATTATTTCCTCAAATGATTCAGTGATTCTTCAGCCCATGATTGCTCTCCACTCCTCTGGGACTCAATTACATGGGTGTTAGTCCTTTGAATATTGTCTCTTAGTCTCTGAGATTCTCTCTCTCTCTTTCTTTCTTTCTTTTTTTTTTTTTTTTTGAGACAGGGTCTTGCCCTGTTGCCCAGGCCAGAGTGCAGTGGCACAATCATAGCTCATCACAGCCTCGAACTCCTGAGCTCAACCTCTTTTTGTTTTCAATATTTGTTCTGTTTATTCATAGGGCTGGATTATTTCTATTAACATATCTTCCTGTTGATGGAGGTGTCTCAATTCTTCTCTTAGCTGTACCTGGTGAATTTTCATTCCGTATGTTGTGATTTTTAATTTTGGAATTTCCACTTGGTTACTGTTTGCAGTTGCTGTTTCTCTGCTGAGAGCACCTGTCTTTTCGTTCATTCTGAGCACATTTATTTCCCCCACATGCTTCAGTATTGTGGTCACTTCTTTGGCATGTCCCAGTCAGCTGCCTCCAGGGTGGCTCAAAGCCAGTTCTCTTAAAAATGGTCATATTTTCCTTTCTTCATGTGTATAACAATTTTGGATTGTTTCCTGGACAGTTTGAATGATGTATAAACTCTGGGTTTTGTTAGATTCCTGTAAAAAGTGCTGGGTTTTGTTTTTGGTTTTTGGTTTTTTTTTTTTTAGACGGAGTTTTGCTCTTGTCACCCAGGTTGGAGTGCACTGGCACGATCTCAGCTCACTGCAAGCTCCACCTCCCAGGTTCAAGCGATTCTCCTGCCTCAGCCTCCCGAGTAGCTGGGATTACAGGTGCCCGCCACCAGGCCTGGCTAAATTTTGTATGTTTAGTAGAGACAAGGTTTTGCCATGTTGGCCAGGCTGGTCGTGGGGGAAAGAAAGAGAGATCAGATTGTTACCGTGTCTATGTATAAAGAAGAAGATATAAGAAACTCCATTTTGCGCTGTACTAAGAAAAATTCTTCTGCCTTGAGATGCTGTTAATCTGTAACCCTAGCTCCAACCCTGTGCTCACAGAAACACATGCTGTGTTGACTCAAGGTTTAATGGATTTAGGGCTGTGCAGGATGTGCTTTGTTAAAGAAGTGTTTGCAGGCAGTATGCTTGGTAAAAGTCAACGCCATTCTCCTGTCTCAAGTACCCAGGGACACAATGCACTGCAGAAGGCCGCTGGGACCTCTGCCCAAGAAAGCCTGGATATTGTCCAAGGTTTCTCCCCACTGAGACAGCCTGAGATATGGCCTCGAGGGAAGGGAAAGATCTGACCATCCCCCAACCGACACCTATAAAGAGTCTGTGCTGAGGAGGATTCGTGAAAGAGGAAGTCCTCTTTGCAGTTGAGATAAGAGGAAGGCATCTGTCTCCTGCTCATCCCTTGGGAATGGAATGTCTCGGTGTAAAACCCGATCGTACATTCTATTTACTGAGATAGGAGAAAACCTCCTTATGACTGGAGGTGAGACGTGCTGGCAGCAATACTGCTCTTTAATGCACTGAGAGGTTTGTGTAAAGTCAAACATAAATCTGGCCTACGTGCACATCAAGGCACAGCACCTTTCCTTAAACTTATTTATGACACAGAGATCTTTGCTCACATGTTTTCCTGCTGACCCTCTCCCCACCATTACCCTGTAGTCCTGCCACATCCCCCTCACTGAGATAGTAGAGATAGTGACCAATAAATACTGAGGAAACTCAGAGACCAGTGCCGGTGCGGGTCCTCTGTATGCTGAGTGCTGGTCCCCTGAGCCCACTGTTCTTTCTCTATACTTTGTCTCTGTGTCTTATATCTTTTCTCAGTCTCTCGTCCCACCTGAAGAGAAACACTCACAGATGTGGAGGAGTTGGGCCCCTTCAGGTCTCAAACTCCTGACCTCAGGTGATCCGCCCGCCTCAGCCTCCCAAAGTGCTGGACTTCCCAAAGTGAACCACCACACCTGGCGTGGTTTTTGTTTTGAAGCAGGAAGTTATTTGACCTCCAGCTGTAAGCTCTGCCTCCTCTGTGGTGCACAGCAATTCAGTTCACATTTCAGTCAGTTCTTCTAGCCTTTGCTGGGCCACTTCATGTCTTACCTGTGTGTTCATTTTTTAGGGGTTAGCCTGAGATTTGGACGGTTTCTGCATAGAACTTGGGGCTCTCTCCTTGGCTCTCTTCTTCCTTGAATTTCTCTCTTCACTTTCCAGCAGCTATCATTGCCTAGGACTCTGTCCTCTGGTTCTTCAAGCCAGCAAAATTGCAGGGTGTCTACCAGAGTTTGATCTGCTCCATGTGGCACAGACAGGGCCTGTCCTCCAGATAAAAGCAGTGAGAATGGGAAACTCATCCCGTGCTGTCACCTTCTTCCAGGTGCTGACCGACCTGCAGTGTCTGTTTGCCCAGGGAGAGTGGTTTCTGCATTTTGTCCAGAGTTGATCATTGCTACTTGAGGAAGGCTTGGTCAGATGGGAGCTCCTTGGCCACAATGGGAAGTGGAACTCACCATTTAGCAAAAGAAATGCATTTCACAATCCCAGTAGGAGAGGACACGCTTGAACTAAGTAATGGCCTAAGTCACCGATGTCTCCCACTCTGCAGGTAGAGTCACTTGTTACTACCGATGCAGGAAAATTTTACTCAGCTTATCTTGACTGGGAAAAGGTACCATCATGTGTATAGAGTCACTATAAAGAGAACACAGGAAGGGAGGATCTCTGGTGGGGTCTCCCTCGGCCCTGTGTAGAGCACACTCAGATTGCTCTGCCCTCCAATCTGGCTGTGCTGGGTTGAGGGCCACAACAGGGACATTAGCAGCCTGCAGTGCAATCTGCCTGGTGTGGGCTGGGCATGCTTCAGCATCCAGAGAAAACCTTCAAGCGAGGAGTCATGGGGCATGCAGCCGAGAGCTGCCTGTGCACACGAGGAGGATGCGTCTGGGAGGACACAGTTGGGGTCTCACATGACTGTCTGTGCTCCACCCCTCAAGTTGCACAGATATACGCAGCCCCATGGGACCGTCACTGAAGCTTCATCGGCCATTGCATTTCTGGGCTCCCTTCACCGTCCGGATTGTTTGCCCAGTGGGGAAGCTGCACATTCATCTCCAAGGTGTCTGAGACCTGAGTCAGAGCTCTCGTCAGGCTCTGGTCACTGTAGTGGCTTTGTCATGGTCACCACCGGGCAGGGAGGCACCCGTGGGTGCTTCCTTGAATCTCCTGAATTTTAGACACACTCCTCTCTGCTCATCCTAAGTAGGAGCCACTTCACCAGCTCACCATAATCAGGGTCAACTACCCACCAATATACACAATCAGGGTCAATAATTACCCAGCAATATATACAATCAGGGTCAATAATTACCCACCAATATATATAATCAGGGTCAATAATTACCCAGCAAAATATACAATCAGGGTCAATAATTACCCACCAATATACATACTCAGAGTCAACTACCCATAAATATATACAATCACCAATATACACAATCAATCAGGGTCAATAATTCCCCACCAATATGCATAATCAGGGTCAACTACACACCTATATACATAATCAGGGTCAATAATTCCCCACGAATATGCATAATCAGGGTTAATAATTACCCATCAATGTACATAATCAGGGTCAATTACCCACCAATATATGTAATCATGGTCAACTACCCACCAAAATATATAATCAGGGTAAAGTATCCACCAATATTCCTAATCAGGGTCAACTACTGATCAATATACATAATCAGAGTCAATTACACACCAATGTACATAATCAGGGTCAACTACCCACCAATATATGTAATCAGTATAAAACACCCACTGATATACAGTAACTCCGTTCTTTACCTGCTCATCTGTGGGCATTAGGATCCCAGCATGGCCTGGTGGAACCATCACAGCAGGTTTCCTGGGGCACTCACTGTGCTTCCTGATAGCAGAGCTTTCCCTCTTGGTAACCTAACACTCTAATCTTACATGACCTAAGGCTGCAGGGATGGCAAGTTTATAGCTTTAAATGGTTCTAGTAGGAAAAATAAATGCTTAAGTCAATGGCCCAAGCCCCCACCTTAAGAAGAAATGATCACATTATGCCTAAAGAAAGTAGAAGAAAGGAAATAATAAAGAGAAGAAATTGACAATGGGGGAAGCAGGTGCGATGGGTGTGTGCACCCCCACATTCTGAATCCTTGGCCATTTGGGTTCTATGCCAGCTATGGGTTTATTGCTCCTCAGTTTCAAATTTCCTCTTAATTATCCTGCGTGTGACTGGAGCTGGACCCTGTCGATGTTTCTCCTTCGTAGCTGGTGCACTGTTAGGCCTTGTGAACAGAGGGCACAGGGGTCGAGGGAGGAAGGGGCTTCCCTTTAGATTCAGGAGACTTCTTCATTCTCTATCCTGAGGGGCTTGGCTGGCAAGCAGGATGCCAGGTGGCACTCAGCCCCAGTGAAGTCAGCAGCAGACCCTTGGGTGGCTTTGGGTGAATTCTTGGGTACCCAAAGTCAGCAAACTTCTCTGCCATCCCAGGACCACAGACATACCCTCTCCAGGGAGGCCTCAGAGCCTTCCAGGTTATTCCTACCCCAGTGCTCAGCCTCAGCCCTGGGGTAGAACTGGTAGAAATAACATTTCTGTTATTTCTGTGGTTTTAGAGTCCTCTTTACTTGTTGGTAGCCCCTCTCCTGTTACCAGTTGGGAATTCTTTGCAGTAATTTGCCTTTCAAATGACTGTGCCACCTGTCTCCAACACCCTCTCTGTGTCAACCATGGCCTTTACTTTCTGAATTTGGACACACTGATATCTGGGGCCTTGCTAACCCTGGAGGAAGTG